AGAGGTGCGTGTTTTCTTGAAATTTATATAAATATGTACATATTTTTTTAAATCTGCCGCTTGAAAAATCAACCCTCTTATGGAACACATACATACAGACCCCGTAGGACAAAACCAAGAACACCTTGAGAAAACACAAAAATGTATATTTATGAGAGTCTTGACTGATCCCTCCCACAGAGGACAAACTTCTGAAAACACATTTTTTGGTGTGTTTTAGCACGTTTTCTTCAAGAAGTGCTAGCAAAGTGCAGAATCTTCTGCAGAGTGCACTCCTGGCAATGTAGTTTTCTTAACAAAGGTTAACAGAGTGCCCTCCTCGAAGTGTAGTTGTCTTGACAAATCTTAACAGGGTGCCCTCCTGGCAGCGCAGTTTTCTTGACAAATTTTGACTCAAAAGAACACACATTGCGAGGAACTTAACATTTGTCAAGAAAACCGCACTACCAGGAGAGCACTCTGTGGAAAATTTTGGGACCCTGTAGACAAACGCCAAAAAAACAAAAACAAACAACAAGACCAATATTCAGAGAGTCTTGGCTGGGGCCCCTTCCAAAGAGTCTGGGAATATAGTTGTTATTTTTTGATGGGTTTCCTTTTTTTGGCTGCTTTTTTATTAAAAAAATTGTTTGTAGGTTTTTGGCCTCGTTCCAAGAGTCTGCAAATATTGCCTTGTCTGCTAGCAGGTTCAGGTGACCCAAATGATCACGCATATGGGAGTGCAGTTTATGTAGTAAAATCTAGGCCTATTGCTAATGAAAAGAACCTGAAAAATTGCACTCCCAGGAGCTACCGTTCTGGAAATTTATTCTGTTTCGTATTTCATATCATTGACCTCCTAACGTTCGATTGCCCTAGCCTAACTTTAGGGTAGTTTTTGCCAGAAAGTAGACATTTTGCTGCCGAATCATAATCAATTGGGTGTTAGTAGATGAATCAAAGCAACATTGTTTTTCCACTGTTTGGTGAAGTATATTGTTGAATGAAAGTAACGCTGCAAGAAGTTGTGTAAGAAAGCAAATGTTCTAGCGAAATCATTCGAGAGCTTTAGCGTTCAAAAACAATGAACGATATTTTTCAAAACGCGCAAAATGAGTAAACTATTTTATTGTCGGGCGATAACCAATTACAAGCTATTCAAACTCCCTTGTTTTCATCAATTTAGCATATAGAAAGTTGCAATGGTCATTTTAGGCGCATTCTAAAAAGACAAATAGTTGCTATCACTTGTATTACAATTCTACAACCTTCGTTTTTGCAAAACAAGCAACAAAAATTGCCAAAAGTTTACGAAATACACCGTATAGAATTAGATGGATCAGATCAACGGAGCAGGCAAACAAATGTGCGCGCGCACGCCAAAATATGATCAAAAATCATAAAACTGACAAAAAGACATCAAATAGGACAAAACAAGCACGGTCGCCATAGGAAATACCAGTTTTCCCAGCAACAAAAAATGAGTTTACACCTGAGCACACACCCAAAGGCCCAGGGTTTGAACAATGACTTATTTTCCAACATATGTCATTTTCTTACTAATTTCATGGCTTTCGGGAAAGATTTTGTTCATTTCAGGTGCCACAACTGTTGACATTGAAATTTCAATCCTCGCATTTCATATTAAAGCCTTCAATGACATTTGGGTTTTAGAGCACGCTGACAAAAATAGACTTATAAAGGTAAAGATTAGAGCCTTGTTGATTAACGCCTCTAAAAGATAAGAAAGTGATTGCATGAAACTAGCCTAAAAAACCAGCATAGCTACATTGGAGTTACATCTTTTTCACGCGACAAAAAACATGATGGGCGCAAGACAAGCAGTGAAAACCTGAAAGTCACTCTTTTCCTGCTGCACATGTTAAATCCCTTGCCTTTTTTAAGGCCGACCCATAAAATTTGGCAGTCGCCTCCACGTCGCGTGGCCAGCTAGGCACATCCGCATGGCCTCAGCTTCACTGTCCCCTGCCTTTTAGAACCAATGCTGCCTTGTTGTCAGCCTGCTAGGTCCAAGCCGTGCGCAATCCCTGATACAGGGCCGACGCCGCAATATAGCTCAGCGGTTTCGTTTCCTCCAGAAGTCCTGCATGTCCTCCGAGTGGGGCACGGCATCAGGAAATCTCGACCCACGGCACCTGGTTTCTGCCCCAGCCTACACCAGAGCTCCAAGCCTAAATGTATTCAGCTCTTGCCGCATTTGATCCAGGCGTCCACGGACACGAAGAACGTCCGACGGATCTCGGATGCTCCGTCCGAGACCAGTGCAAACTGCCGCACTTCACCACTCAAGCCCCAGTCCTCCATCTTCAGCTGAATAAGGAATGCCCGCAAGTAGCCCGGCATAAGTTGAGGACCGTGGAATTGTAGCTCCAAAAGGTCCAACGTTCCCGGGACCATGCCTTGGAACCAGGCGTGTTGCGTAGCGGAGGAAGCCGTACCCGTAGCGGGGGCCAGGAGGAAGGTGCTCAAAGACCACCACGGATTGCCACAAAATCCAGGCCTTCTCCTGGTCCTCCCGGTCAAGGCAGTCTGCACAGCCTGCGGAACTCTGTGAAGGTAGCAGGTGACACGCACCTGCAGAATGACAGTGTGTTGCCGCACTCCGCTTAGAACCAAGATTCAAGCAGAAACTCTCCTGTCCACTTTTGGATCTTGAGCCAAAACGTGACATGGGAGTAGTGATGATATGCGTGCACCCAGGCCTGGTCAAAGCTCTCATGTTCCAAGCACGTATCAAATGTTCGGCGCGCGCTGAGGGTACAAATTCCATATGGAGGTCACGGACGAGGGCGAGTCGCAAACGCCGCGGCATATCCGAGCTGCGAACGCGCGAAGGAAGTGGCTTGCACCTGGAGGTCTTGAGGGAGCACTGATAGGATTGAGCGAGCTGCTGCGGCGCCGAGGCGCTCTGCGGCAACTTGGGACGGCGCCAGAGGCCAGAGGTGGGCGTGGAAAAGGGGGGGCGTGGAGAAGGGGTTTGCACCAAGGGTCGGGGCAGAGTGCGACCCAGATCGAACAAACACAGGAAACTGCATCGCCTGACGTCTGCCGGGGCCGCAGTCGAGGAGCTGGTCCTGCCCATGAGAGACGGATTGGCGTCAAGGCGTGCACAAACTCCGTGCTGACGGTTGGGCGATACAAGACTGCGCATCGAACACTGTGGCGCATTGTTCGCGAATAGTTAGTGACAAAGCAGCTGTAGTATTTCGGCGGTGCTAACCACGTGCATTCCAAGAGCGTTCTTTGCAGGGCCTGTGCTCTTGCAGCTGGCCGCTGATCTGCAGGGGTCAGCTGGCAGCTACTGCGCACGTCGGAATACTGCCAGATTTAGCTAGGACAGGTGTGCCACACACACCTAGACGTTGGTTGGCGGAACCTTCCGGAGTTTGTTCGGAGGGAGAGGTGGGTTATGCTGGTGCTGCAAGCATGCTGCTGGGTTGTTGCGCTTGCCCCTCAATTCTTGGGTTGTTTGTGTAGGAATCTACAAAATTGCTTATATTTGGGATGTGCTTGTCGATCTTGTAGGTAGGGTCATAGGGCTTTTGAGAAGCTGTTCAAAGCTTTTCCTCAAATCGTGGAAGAATCCGCTGGTCGCTTTGGGCTGGTTGTCTGCGAGAAACTTTGGACAATTCGCTGGCTTCTTTGGGGAACATTTAGGTTCTCTACATAAGCAGTTTTCGGTTGGAATCGGATCATAGTGTTGCTTTGTCAAAAGGATATGTCGGAAGGTAAAGACAAACCTTGTCAACTTGTGGTTATGGGCAATTTTGCGACCATGGGCGGTCAGTCAATCCGAATCAAGGAGCATCCCCAAGATCCCACAATTCACCGGAACGTCCAAAACCACATACGACGAGCCAGTGAGCGAGAAGCGCTCCTGAGATGCCAAGGTGCCGCTTTGTACGAGACGCCCAGTTGCCAAGCCGGGCAACCGGACCATTGATTCATCGTGATTCATCTTTTCTTGAAAAGCAAATGGCAAGCACCCGTTTGCCTGGAAGTTGTGAGCTCCAATTGGAATGTAATTATATAGTGTTGCGTGACTTGCGTGTTGCAACATGTGCAATGTGGTGATGTGGAAAGTCTTGTAATGACTGTAGTGAGGTGGCCACTCGCAGCAGGGCCTTTGCCGACAAAAGGTGGAATATGTTGGAACACCTTGGTATTGGCCATTCCAAGAAATTACCATGGAATGTATATCGTGTCAATGTACTATGTTTATCTATGTTTACATTCCATGTCACAACGTGATTGTTGATGACTTACGACTTATGCGGAGTGACGCCAACCCGCCTGGCTTTACCACGATCACAACAAACACATACAGCCATAAGGAGGAAAACACCACACAAGCATACACGAGCAACTCCTCACACTCTCACACTTGACGCTCAGTTCGCAGCCTCCGAAACCAGGCAGACCGGCGCAAAAGCTATGCAAAACCAAGCGAACGCAGCCAGTGAGAAGAGACCAATCAAGGTGGAGATTGGACCAATCTCATCATGTTCATTGGCGCACAATCTGGAAGCGGAATTGCCACTCCTCTGTCAAACAGCGTGAGCGCAAAGTGGATCCGAATCGTTGTTTGTTGCAATTTTACATGATACGGTGAAACAAACACCACGAACTAGAGATGGAGTCAATCCTTCCAATTTCCGGTGCTCTGATATTTCAGCATCCGTCCAAGGACCACAGCAGCATGATAACTTTCTTTCGGCAACTTCAATTCAAACAACAGCGCTGATGGCTGTGTCATCGAAACTGCTCTTTGGTTCAAGTAAGAACGGCGTGGGTGAAAGCGTCGCTGATGGTGGCAAGCCACCAGAGCAAAGGTGCAATAGCTGTGACACTGTCCGTCCTTTATGTCGTCGCAAACAAAGACCAGTCGAGTCAATACTTGAACAGTATAAGTAGATCTCAGCAAGACTTGAACTGAAGCCAAACATCGGCTTTGATTGCTCGCCTATCTTGCGTATGCCAAAAAATCAGCTACGGCCGGCCTTTCTGTTCTCACATGGGATGCAGTGTGGCATGCAGGATGGCCTGGTTGCGACACAGTCCATGTCTTGTTTCCAGCATGGGATGGAAAGGGTTACCATCCTGATCAAGCAACAACTCTCCAATGCTCTAGTACATTGCAAAGTGCTGCCAAACATGACAGTGAAACCATTCGCAGTCTGAAATCGCTTCTGTGCTGCCATCTGCGGAAACCTGTCCAGCATCTTTCTATAATTTATGGCAACAGCAGTGCTCTCCTTGGCATCTGGGGGTGGGACGCACAGCAATGCCAATGAGAGCACTCGCATGGACCGGTCTAGGACCATAAAAACGAACGTTTCGAGCTGTGTCAACCTCACACTTATGGCTTGCCTGACCTTAACCTGCTATACCCTGCATATCACTTGTCGCTGTTCTTGGGATCTCATATACTTCGTGGACAGTATATGGTCAGGATTGCTTTCTGAATTGCTATTGTAGTTAGCAGGTCCTAACCTCATTTACATGCTGGATCAACAGGTTTTATTCCATTATGTGTAGAATTCGCTAGATATGCTTGGCTGAGGTGAGTTTAGTGTCAGCATCTCGTGCAATTAACTCACTGCTGAAGACATGCACGAGAGTTTACAGAGTTCAACATCCAAAATCAACTCTTTGGATTCCATGACTCCTTTGGGCACAACCGAGGGATGATCCAAATGCGAGGGATCTTCACCTAATAGGTCCTGAAGAACATAAGATGGACGAGTAACCAAAGCGGCTTGGTATATCCCTCCCTGACTAACCAATAGATCCGTAAGATTGATCATCCCTCATGTGAAACCTACAGTTCACACTGTACAGCAGAATGCTTGTGAACATGCCCACATCCCCAAGCGTCGTGTGCACGGGATTTCAGGCACCAAACATTCAGTTCCTTGGGAAAATCAGAAGGACCGAACAATAGCATGGCAGCATGTCAGGGCACCGCTGGTGGAATGCTGCTTTCCATGTACTGTGGTTCAACCTGCACATCTCATGTGTGATGTTAAAAACAACTACGCCATAGAACAAAAATTCTTTGTCCAATCACATTTGAGATGTACTCAATAGTGCTTCCAGAGAGGAGCAAGTTGAAGCAGGGAACGTTCTTTCCCTCCGTCGAGCACATGTCATTCGCATCTTTCACCAGCCAATGCTCCGCTGCGAATATCCACGACTTCACATCTCAAGAAGCATAATGAATGGGTCCTTGCTTGTGGCAGCAACTATTGGGTCTTATGTCCCTGAAGCTCAGCAAGTTGCCGAGCTGAAAATTTTGTAGGCCGTCTTAGCCTTAGCCACTAGCCTGAAGCTACTGTACAGCACAGTTAGCTTTTTGGTAGTACTTCTGATGATAGTCCTGAGGCAAGTTGCAAATGAGCCATGGGCGCGGAGTGAACAGCACTGAGTTGCACTTGGATCTGCCTGGATGCTGGGTCAATGCTATCACACTGTGCATGTCTAAGCAAACTAGCACCACCACAAGCAACACAGCTCCACCGTTGCTGTGGACTCTGCATTGCAGGTCTAAAGCATTCTGTCACCTAGAAAATAACCGTGACTATATACATATATATATATATATTTGAATATATCATAATAGGAAAAAGCTGCTGGAGCATGCCAGAGCAAGTCATACTATGGCATACGCCTGATTTTGGTGATGACTGGTATCCTAAGTTGAACTCAACGTCCTCCGCATCATGCCAGGATTTGACCTCAAAGCTGTCAAGCAACAAGAATCCTAGGCATGCCTTGCCAATCCCCTCGTCTGACTCTTGCTAACTTCAACTCCAGCAAAAGAATGACAAGCAGGAAAATGACTTATGAGCAAAAAGTACACGTCGTAGTACTGATCCTTGCTAAGAACTTTTTGTCTGTACAGGGTCTGCGAGATGGAGAAGTCCTGTGAGTATGGGCTCTATTTCAGTTTGCTTATACGATATATATATATATACATCATATAGTCTGGTAGAAAGCACAGCCATGTACCACGCAGTTGCATGCACCAACCTATGCCCGTAGGTGGTTTGTTGCATTCTTCGAAAAGAAGACTTTCCCGCACGCAGTGCAAAGCAGCATCACGAACAGAGGTTGCAAAAGAGCCAACGACGAATGAAAGGGGCAACTGGGTAACCAGCTTTTAGCGAAAGAAACTGCACCAAAAGGGCGAAAGAAGCCCTTTTAGGAAGCAGAGGTGATCAAAGGGAACACTTTTAGGTTAATCATGGTTAATCTATCTCAAAAGTGAGTTCGCAAGCAGCGATCTGGCATTGAGCACGTTGTTTGGGGGTAGCTGCCGCGGACCAAACCACCCAACCTGATTTAGCAACCACTCATGCCAAACTGCACTACTTTTTCTGCACCAAGGCAGTTGGCCGCTACCAACATGAAAAGGGTCATACAAACATGTCAGATCTATTGAAAGCAGGTGGGTACCGGAAGCGGAACCATGCATACCGTACCACCCTGCGCCAACCTGCAACCTGAGAGAAAAACATGCTGGACAAAGACAACCCCTAAGCGGCCTCGCCTCAACCCCAGAAATGGTCAAGGGGAAGTGTTTGGGATAAAAGTGAGGATGAACGTACCATAACGTACCAACTTATATAATATACATCAACTTACCAACTGTTTAAATGCACATTTGGCCTCGTCCACATCAACGACGTGGGAAACGCCGTAGTCCTTGAATCTCCGACCACGGCTGGAGCGACCCGCGTCAGCTGCACGTTGGAAACCCCGGCAAACAAAGTCAGCAAACATGCGTGAGCAATGCGTGAGCAATGCGTGAGCAATGCATGAGCACCAGCAGCTGGATGCAGCGGCAGCGTCCTGGAGTCTGGCCTCCACAACCTTCTTCTGTTCGTCTGAGTGGTACCAAACTGCCGACTTATACCTCAAGGTTCACTGCAAGTGTGACACCTTTCAACATTGTGTTTCTTAACAAGTCGTTTCACTGCAAGACTCTGAGCATCAACCTGTGTGCGTGTTTCCATCCCTTCTGAATATGTTCGCCGCTTTTATCTTTGCTGGCATGTGTCCAATGAGTCAATGAGTCTGATGTTTTGCTTGTTCGATGATCATGCAGCATTGAGCTTGCGGCTGGGCTTTGGAACGCATTGGCTGATGGCCTCAGCAAAGAACAATGGCACATTTGCAAAAAACACCACAGCAATCATCAATCAACCAAGCACACTATGCACAAATGGAATCCATTTCATCAATAGATCAGGTGCGCACCCTGCATAAATTGATCGAGCAGCATCTCGTAGCTGACCTGGCAAGAAGGAATAAGGCGTCCAAGGAAACTGAAGTTCCATAGAACAAATCAATGACCTAAATTGTGTCGCTCACCTCTTCAGGGTCGTACTCAATTTGGATGGCCTGTTGGTGTGAGGATTGAAACATGAATGCATCTGAATGCATCTGAATCTGAACTTTGCCTGCCTCTGTGTGGCCATCTCCGCCACACACACTTTCATAGGAAGGTCTGGGATTCCTGCCGCCCGTGTATCCAACAGTCCTTGGCGCAAGCTCGGAGCTCACATGGCTCAAAAAACAGCTGAGCTCAGCTTATGTGGCATGTGGCATACTCCTTTAACAATTAGAGCAATTGTGCATTTTGAGCACATCACGTTTTCTTCACACCGGGAAGTTTGTCAAATTGGGCCTCTTGGATACAGCAACCGGTGACCATTGCATCAATTCCAGTAAACCAAGAGAAGCATCCCGAAGAAGAATGACCATCGGTGCCTGTGGGCCCCAGAATCAGCCCATGGCGAAGGTTGCCACCTTTGACACTCAAGACTCAAGGAACAAGTGATTTGGGGAGGGTGCAAACATGTACAAACAGCTGACAGAGTCAAACAATGCTTACACAAACAAACTTTCCGCTCCTCAGTCTTCGCCATCTTGGTCGCTGCATGGACCTTGGGCTTTCAGACAAGGCTTCTAGCATCTTGCAAATATGTTTTGCCGTGTTTTGCTTTGCCAATTGAAACTGCAATTTAGAGGCATTGTGGGCAGTCTGCACCTTCCGTCACGCTTCACGGAGAGGAACTCTGAGACTGTATGAAATACACTGACCGTGCTGGCCGTTGACTGCGGCAATACATGATTCTGGTACCTCTTGCTCACTGGCTTTGCGCACTGCAAAGCCTCGGCTCAATACAGGCCACACCTTCCAAACCACCACGCCAAATGCCACCAGATCTGGGCCCAGCTTTCCGAGCAAGTCTATTTCTGAGAGCTCTACTTCGCGTAGCCGTCCCCGGGTGAACAAATGCTTCTGTGAGCCCAGCACGTCCTTGCCTGCCAAATTGCTCAAGGCAACACAATTCCAAAAACCACAAAAAACACGGGGACACGGTTTTTCTTGTTACAAAGGGCACCAAAGGTCCCTTAACAGCAGGGGTAATGAAAGAACATATTTTTGTTACTATGAGTAGAAGGGGTTGGTGAATTCCTGTGTGCAAGAGGTGCATTTTTCATTGCTCGCGCAAGTGCTGGAAGCTGTGGAAAAGTTAAGTTGCATGGACAAAGGACGATAAAAGGATGATAAGTTATTTGCAAAGAATTTGCAACTACATTATTAAACTGAACCAAAAACGATCCGAACCAAATCAATCCCTGAGCAAAGAGTGCGTTCCTAGTAGTGGCCACTTATGCTCACTAGCGGCCTGAGGCTGACAGCGCCCAAAGCTGCAGCTGCAGCAAGGGCTGGCCGCCCCCAGGATTTGGGTCGGCTTCTTGCCTGCCTTGGGGGTGGTCGTCATGGTCGTTTGTGCCGCAATGGCCAAGACACAGTAAAATTACGCCAGCATAAGCCCCAAATAACAAGAACCTTCGTGGCAGCACACGGCAGCAGCACCCTCCAGGCGCCATCACACACGCTCCAAAGCGCACACTTCCACAAACACGTCGCGGCAGCTCCCGGGCGGCACCCTATTCTGCGAGCCTTCCAATCCACTTTGAATCACGTCCTGGAGACGGCTGCTCAACAGGCCGATATAGTTTGACAGTAGGTCCTTGCCCATGTCACCCTGAATGACTTGCACGAATCCTATTTTGGACTCATTCTTCAGCAAAGCGGCACCCTGCAGCGGCACCAGCGCCCAAGCTCTGGCAGCGGCACCCTGAAGCGAATCCAAGCTCCGAAGCGCACACGGCCACACATCTGGCAGTGGGTACCCTGCAGCGGCACCAGCAACCAGGCTCCAAAGCGCACATAAATGCACGCACCCCTTCCTATACTTGAAGTAAGAACCCCAATAGCTCTCGCTATCTGGAGAAATATGTCTGAGGCACTGGCATCTTTGACGCGACCCCCACTCTTGGAAGTTTTGTGGCTTAAAACGGCTGAAAGGGAAAATCATCGGTGAGAACTAGAAGTTTGCCGGCCCGGCTTTGTTGGTGGCATCCTCCAAAAGAGGAGGCAAAGGCACGTTCACTTCCAGATGTCTCGCTCACCAGTGCACCTACCCACCAATGGACACATGCTAAATTCTGTAATTACTGCATCTCAATATCTGATTATGCTCTGCAGGTGAAACCAAGGTCATGCCAATGTCTATGTCTTGACACGAACAAGCAAGTTATGCGTTCACCTTGTGATGTTTGAAAGTTTCTCAAGAAGCGGGAGGACCGGTGGAATGTAAAGCTATCCTGTTCTCACTCGCAATGAGGAGTTGCCAAAAGGGGCATTGGTTCGTCAGCTGGATGCTAGCATGATGGACTAGACCAAAGACTCATCACTGTGCCCGTCAGGATATGACAAAAACAATCCACACATTGACTTCATTGGCAAAAAATCAAGCTCCAAGTCTCAGTTTTCTTGGTTTTGTAGACTCCAAAGTTGCTCCTGAACAACGAGCCCTTCCCTGATTCGCATATCAAATGTATATATAAATTAAATATACATATACAATCATATATACACAAACCGCACATTTTGCTCAGGAGTCGAAGGATTAGGCCCATGGCCTGCATTACATCTTGCATCCCTTTAGATGCATTGGCCTTGCATCCACCAAATGAACAAAGCCTGGATCTGTTGCAGCAATTTATAGAGGTCAGTTAAGAAGACAGCTGTGGTAACTCGTGCCTGACATGTGCACCAAGGGATATGTCTGGAGCAGGCCATCTGTTTTCTAAATGATCTTGATTGTTCTATGATGCAGCTGATACAACAAATTCTTCTTTCTGTGGTCCAGGCACTGATGATAACATGTTTGCTTGCAGGTTGTACAGTGCGGCTTGTTGCCGGCAAAAGCAAGTGCAAACGTGTTGACAGTGAAGCATCCTTTCGCTGGTTTCTAGCACTAGCTTTGCACATTTTTTTGTACTTGCTTTGGTGAAACATGGCTTCCATTGCTGCCCGTTTTCTCTGGCTGAAGCTCCTCGTAAAGGAAGTTTATTGTCACTTAGCCTCAGGCACATCTATTTATGGACGCCAGTGCAAAATGAGCAAGCTCAGATCTGCTTGGCTGTTGACCATCTGCACACCTCGACGTCAACAAAGGATTGCAGTCTCGACATCAAAACTAGGCTGTCACAACCCAAACGGGGCTCTTGTTTGGAATGCTTGTGGCCCCAAAAGTCAGGAGTGGCTCCACCCATGATTTATCTTTCATATGGAAGATCTACGTCGTATTCCATCCCGACAGGATTCGACTCAACTCATGCGCAATTCATGTTGTGCAAAAAAGAAATTCCCCTGAGGCCAAGAACTGAAAGTCCAGAGTCTAGAGATGTCTAGAGTCTAGCACAGCACATCAGCAGGTTAGGAAATCGACTACGACTCGAGTGTAAATCCAGCAGCGCCTCACTTCTGTGCCGCCACTGGCATGCCGATGTTCACCCGGAGCGTTCCAACCTCATCAATCACGCCTTGGTACCTGAAACAAGTTGCAAAGGCAAGGCGAGGACATATCAACAGAGTCTACAAGCAGTTGTGCTCAGCACTGTGCATACATCAACAAAAGCATGTGCCAAAAAATCCCAAACTTGCATGAAATGGCTGCACAGCCCTTAGAAACAGGACTTCCATGATGCTTGTGCGGGGAGGCTCACATGGACTTGCCACTATCCTGTAGAGATAGAGTCATATCAGCCTGGACGGATCTGAACATACTCATCGTTTGCTTGCTTTGTTCTCGCACCAACTTTGCATCGAAAGGAAGCTTCGTTAGACGAATAGAATTGTGTCAACTAGATGCAGTTGGCCTCGTCTGTCTCCAGCAGGTCATGGCCAAACACCTGACACAGGGCACGATCTCCCAGGTGATCAGACTGGATCTGCGAAGGAAATCAAGAAGCTGGAGCTGTCTCGCATCCACCGAATCCGAACCAAAACAAAGGACCTGCCCTCCTGCCTTCAAATAATAGCCTTTTGACCAGTTTCACATCACACACTGTCCTATGAACATTGCAGTCTGCAACAGCAGCCTGTACGTCCTCTTGCTGACGGCTTTCTCGGAAAAGGCTGAAATCCATTTGGCTCTCAACCTGCCGACCATCTCAAATCGCTCCCCAGATTTGCATGTTCAGTCTTCCTGCTTTGTAGAATGTCCATGCTGTGACAAAGCAAGCTAGGTTACCGTGGATACTGTACCTATTCAGTTGAGAGAATGTTCAGACTCAGAAAAGTCTACTTCACTGGGGAAGATGCTTTTGTGTGCCTGGCGCTGAGATGCTTGCTCTTGTCTTTGTGGAGCTTTCAAGCAAAAGTGGAAGTAGTGTGAACCGATTTTCTCTGCTTCTTGATTGGGCCCCTACTATAGACATATACAAATTCGAATTGAACCTGAACAACTAAAAATACAAACAATCTGACAACCTCAAGTCAAAGGCCCTTCCCAATGAATCCTGAACATAGCCGGTTTTGTTCAGTCATATCGTGCCTTGATACCTTCCAAGCACCGATGTACGACGCTGCCCTGCTTCAGTGCCAAGACTTCCACTGCCTGTGGCACCTGTCGGGTTACTAATAGCGATGGCCTCCAACCTAATAGCGATGGCCTCCACCCTAGTAGCTTCTTGTTACTAAGAAGCTTCAAAGACATACAAGAAAGCTTCTTGTTACTAGTAGCCTGTGGCACCTGCCTTTGTCAACGAGACCTGTAAGATCCTCTAGGCTTCTAACTTCTTCTGGTAACATCAATTGGATCTTGGCTTGTGGACCACGGACAAACACCTTGCACTTGACATGCTATCATCAATAGGCTTAAACTCAATATGGAACTCGTCCCTGTCTGAAGCTTTGGAGACTCTTGGCGTGGCAAGCACCAAGGATAGCTGCACAAAAGCAAAAAGTACATAACCATAATAAAGATCCGACATGTTTGCAGCCAAGAATAAAGGGTCATCCCAGCTTCTTGGGCCATCGCGCCATCCCACAGCCTCAGGGAAGACCATCTGCATCATCAACCTCAAATGTGCCGAAACCCACTGGCAATTCATGGTAGGCAGTCTCGTATTCAACGCTTCAGAGAACCTAGTTTAGGTTGAAACCGAATATATCCACACCTGGGGTTGGCGCTTAGAACCGAAGATCACATGCTCCAGGAAGACGAAGAAGACAATCTGAAAACATGGCAACTTATCACACAAGGTGTTCGTCTTGGATAGTGGAACATGTACATCTGCAGCCCCCCCAATGCTCTTTGGCCTTCTCAGTGGCTGTCCAGCCCGAGTACTGGGTTGATGTGTAGATCAAAAGCAGCACATTGGTCAAAGCTGCCAGCACACCTGGCACATCGTGAGACTCATAGATGTCAACTCAATATTATCCTAGAGTTCTTGTATACAATCGTATACATAATATATATATACCGTATATGCGAAACATATTTGGAAACTTCTGAGATCCACAAAAAGCCCTCGAGGTCTCCACTCTTTTAGGTATCTTTTCATCATGCAGTATCTGAAGAATCGCTCTGAAACAAGAAACTCTGCAACTGCCACTGCGGTTTGATGTCTCCCTCTAACCAACATCATCAAGTCAAACACCACATCCGCAACTGTCAACAAACACTAGGAGGATGGAGTCAAAAGGAATGTGCATGCTGCATGATGAATCATGAAGAACATTTCAATATATCAAACAGCTCTGCTGCACCATAGACTTCAAAGGCCACACCCCATGGCCTGAGCAAACAAATCCAAGGCGTTGAGAGCAATACAGTCCGTCACGGATCTCATGGATCTTGGGTCCCAGGGTGGGGACTCGTTGTTGCGAGCCCGCTCTGGGAATGGACGTTGTCTGCTTTCCAAAAGACCTCGAAACCACTCCGCAGGGAAACAAAGCACATCACTGCTGAGCTTGTTATCCCTTTCCTTTTCGGCCCCAGGCTCTTCATGTCCACCCAAATTTCAACAATGACAGCCAGCAACGTCTGGCACCAGTCACCAGCGGTCACCAGCAGGCTTAACAATGCCAATGAGCTCTAGTGCATGGGACAAATGAGGCGGGTGGACCGCTGTGCACACCCAAGGTGAAGTCACAGCAAACAGGGTCGCAAAGCCATGCCTCACAGCGCAAAGAATCGCCGCGGGGTATGGCGATACATTTTAGGCAACAAATCTGATTAGACACATTGTGAAGCATTCAAAAACATCACGTGTTTGGGACCGCAGTATGGCTTGACACACATTGACATCAGTGCTCAAAGATTCATATGCCAGTATCCTAAGTACATTCACATTCAGTGCTGCGTGAAAAAATCATGTTACCCTAGACAATCAACATGATGTATATATGTGTCTCTGGTATCCCCCAAAAGCTACCTTTTTAAAGGATTCGTTGGTTCATTTTTCTTGTATGCTTTTGAGTGTGTCTTGATGTAGTGCGGTGCCATGTATAGATATAACTGTATATATTTGTAGATTGTTGGACAGTACTATATAATAGGGTTTTTTTGTGGGATCATAGTAATGCGCAATTCTGTGCACTGAGTTGCAGCTGTTTCATTTTTTGCAGTCTTGCCTATGTCAAAGGGGTGGGTAGATGGGAAAGTTGTGTGCAATTGAAATGAGGTATTTTTACAGTATTTGCATTGTTTTTGGTGTTGCCAAACTGTTTGCAAACTCTGGGTTCCAGCTCTAACTATGTGACGGCCAAACATAAAACAACAAAAAACTAGCCAGGTTTTTGGGTTGTTGTAGTTTTTTGGGTGGCCAATCCTCGACTGCACTTAAGATCCCCTACTATGCAGTGTTTTTCCTTATTGGTTTGTTTGTCAACCACAGGTAAACCTGCTTTCCTCTTATGCAGTTCTTTCACTGCTGATACCGTTGATCTTACGAGTAAACCTACAGTAGCGGTTTTCATGGGGGATGGAGTGGTGAAGCTGCTTTTGTGATTTAGAAGGAACTTCCGTGTTACGGACATTCAACAGCTGTTCAACCACCACTCATCATACACCACTCATCAGATTTCGTGGCAGGTGCAGCAATTTGTGAACCTCCATGTGCAGATTTCGTGGCAGGTGCAATACAACATGCGTTTTCGAGAGATAGCGGACGCACGAAATGCTGTATTTTTCAATAGAACCGGTGGCTTCGAACCTGGCAAGTCTAGCTCTGCGGAACGACTGTTGCGAGACGGTCTCGGGTCATGCTCGGTCGGCCGTCCATTGTGATTAGGTTTTCACTTGTCTCTTGAAGTGCAGATTTCGTGGCAGGCGCAGCACTTTGTGAGCCTCCATGTGCAGATTTCGTGGCAGGCGCAGCACTTTGTGAACCTCCATGTGCAGATTTCGTGGCAGGCACAGCACTTTGTGAACCTCCATGCACAGATGTTGTGGCAGGCGCAGCACTTTGTGAACCTCCAGGTGCAGATTTCGTGGCAGGCGCAGCACTTTGTGAACCTCCAGGTGCAGATTTCGTGTCAGGCACAGCACTCTGTGAACCTCCAGGTGCAGATGTCGTGGCAGGCACAATACTTTGTGAACCTCCAGGTGCAGATTTCGTGGCAGGCACAGCGCTTTGATGCACTTTGTGAACCTCCATGTGCAGATGTCGTGGCAGGTGCAGCACTTTGTGAACCTCCAGGCGCAGATTTCGTGGCAGGCACAGCACATTGTGAACCTCCAGGTGCAGATTTCATGTCAGGCACAGCACTTTGTGAACCTCCATGCGCAGATTTCGTGGCAGGCGCAGCACTTTGTGAACCTCCATGTGCAGATTTCGTGGCAGGTGCAGCACTTTGTGAACCTCCAGGTGCAGATTTCGTGGCAGGTGCAGCACTTTGTGAACCTCCATGCGCAGATTTCGTGTCAGGCACAGCACTTTGCGAACCTCCACGCGCAGATTTCGTGGCAGGTGCAGCGCTTTGTGAACCTCCATGTGCAGATTGGGTGGCAGGCACAGCACTTTGTGAACCTCCGTGTGCAGATTTCGTGGCAGGCACAGCACTTTGTGAACCTCCGTGTGCAGATTTCGTGGCAGGCGCAGCATCTGGCGAGCTGGAAGCTGAGAACTGGCGGCTCTTGTAGTACAACTTTAGTACGCGGAGCTGGAAGCTGAGAACTGGCGACTTTGTAGTACAACTTTAGTACGCGGAGCAATTTGTGAGCTGGAAGCTGAGAACTGGCAACTTTCTAGTACAACTTTAGTACGCGGAGCAATCTGTAGAGCTGGAAGCTGAGAACTGGCAACTTTGTAGTACAACTTTAGTACGCGGAGTATCTGGCGAGCTGGACGATGAGAACTGGCGACTTTGTAGTACAACGCGGAGCAATCTGTGCAGCTAGAAGCTGAGAACTGGCGACTTTGTAGTACAACTTTAGTACGCGGAGTATCTGTGGAGCTGGAAGCTGAGAACTGGCGACTTTCTAGTACAACTCTAGTACGCGGAGCAATCTGTAGAGCTGGAAGCTGAGAACTGGCGACTTTCTAGTACAACTTTAGTAGGTAGAGCTGGAAGCTGAGAACTGGCGACTTTGTAGTACAACTTTAGTACGCGGAGTATCTGGCGAGCTGGACGATGAGAACTGGCGACTTTGTAGTACAACTTTAGTACGCGGAGTATCTGTGGAGCTGGAAGCTGAGAACTGGCGACTTTCTAGTACAACTTTAGTACGCGGAGCAATCTGTAGAGCTGGAAGCTGAGAACTGGCGACTGTGTAGTACAACTTTAGTACGCGGAGCAATCTGTAGAGCTGGAAGCTGAGAACTG